TCCACCGCCGCTGCGCAGGCAAGGCGAAAGGGGGGAAAGTTGAAGAAGCGCAGTAGCAAGACTGCACCCTCCTCCCCGTCTCGCTCCGCCGCTGCCGCAGGTGGTGAAAAGAAGCGGAAGAAGAAGAAGAGGTAACAAACACTCGGCCAAGAAACGAGAAGGAAGGAGTACGGGGAATTACTTATTGTTTAGAGGAGGATCCAGTTCTGTCGATGCACGCATTTAATGAAAAAATGCATGTGCACCAGAAGGAGTGGGGAAGTTGTGTGTTTATAGACGAGTAAGAATAGAGAAGGAAACTAAAGAAGAAGCGAGGAGTGGATCGAAAAGAAAAGACAAGAAAAAAAAAAAAAAAAAAAGGAAGAGGATAATGATGGTAGTGATGATGATGGATGTTTTCTTGTTTTATTCACCTTCTATTTTATTTTATTTTATTTTATTTTGATTTTTTTTTTTTTTGATTTTTTGTTGTTTTCCTCTTTCTTATTACACCTTTCTGCCTACTCCATTCACGTATCTGCATCCATATCTATAAATATATGTGCATGCATGGACATAGAAAAGCGAATTGATTGCGTGAAGAAAGAAGGAGGAGAATAAATGCAAATGGCAACACATACGTACATTTATTATTATTATTATTATTATAAATTGGAGTGGTAACAAACACACACACGTGTGTCTTGTGTCAAATAACCCAAACAATTGTGCCTCCTTAAATTCCATGCAAACTCCACGGATAACTCTCTATTTTTCTTTCTTTCTTTCTCTCTCTCTCTCTTTATGTGTGTAATTTTTAGCTTTAGGAATGGGAGAGTATCAAAAGTACACACACGCAGACACGCAGACACGCAGTCTCTCTCTTTTGTTGTTGTCGGGGGTTTAAAAAGAAAAATAATAATAATAAAACAAAAACTAAAAGGAGCGTAGGGACGGAAAGATTTGCTCGTCTCCGTACAACAGCTCGTATCGTCTTCTTCATAATTCGCAGAAAAATTCATTTATTATTGAATTACATCCTTTTTTTTTTCTTCCTTTTTTTTCCCCCCCTCTTCTCACTTGTGGCGTTGATCAATTTGTTTTATTATTTTGTATCGTTTGTTGTTGTTTCTTTGATTGTGTTGGTCTGGGGAGGTGGTGAGTTTGGTTTAGGCCGGGCTGTGACTTCCCACTAAAAGATATATCGTTTTGGAGCAAGAGCGCAGATGGATCATGCAACATGTCATGCGGAGGAGTATTTAAGGTTATCTTTGCCAACGAAGGATTCCCAGCCATTGGGAAAGAGAAAAGGACTTCTCCCACATGTTGCGGTACGATGTCGCCCACTTACCGCGGAAGAATATTGTGCCTTCACGTTACGAATGCGTGATCCCGACCCCGCCTTAACTGCATCAGGCAGCGATACGCTGTTGGTGGCATACCCGGTGGCCATTCAAGTATTACCACCCAGCAGCAACGACAGCAGCAGTGATGATGTTGAGCAAACGGAAGGAGCTGCAATCACGTTGGCACGATATATGCCCAACGGGACATTATGCATGCAGGAGTTTCCATATGTGTTTGATGCAGTTTTTCTCCCAGACTCTGTGGAATGTTTCACACGGTTACGTCATGAATGGGAGCAACCCGAGTCGACGGATGCAACTGGGCGCCAATGGACGACAGGGTGCTATGACAGGTTGCTAGACATGAGCACAGTCTCCGGCAACGATGGTGCCTTTGCGACCCGGCTGATTAAAAACGCTGTGCACCCAATAACAGGTGGGGCGCTGTCGTGGGCAAACGGGACTGAAGGCGATGAGGAGGAAGAGGAGGAGGCGGAAGCGGCGACGCTTCAGCGGGAAGTGGAGCAGCTGGCCTTCCTCAACTCACTGTGCTCCTGCCAAGCAGTGAGAGCAGGCAAACGCCCCTTCGTTGGGGCCTCCGTGCGGCCTCCCAGCAGATGGAGTTTCCCGATGGATCAGGAGGAAGTTGTGAATCAACCCATCGTGCCGTTGCTTGTAGGTGGACATCACGTGACGGTGATTGCCTTTGGCCCTCCCCAAAGTGGAAAGTCATACACGCTATTCGGCACCCCGCAGTCAAGGGATAGAGCAATTGGCACACAGCCGCCCTCCTTCTTGTCTATCCACACGCATGGATTGATCACACGCGTCGTGCGGAAACTTCTTGAAATTATTCAAGAGCGTCTGAAACGAAGGGGAAAAAGTGTGGTGGTGGATGCCGAGAGGGAAAGTATGAAGGAGAAAAAAGACGACGATGGCGTGAGGGTGGCATTCGTGGCGTTTCAAGACGATCCGCCCACCGCTGGGGCTCCGTCCGGTCAGGCCCCATCGGTGTTTATGTATGACCTGTGGAACCCCGTCTCCTTTGCCGCACTTCGGCGCACGGTACGTCTTTGCGGTTCGGCAGCAAATGCCGGAACCACTGGAGATGGGAGCCTTTTGGGGAAGGGCGAGTGGCAAAATGATCCTCATCGTTTTTCCGCCGCCACTCACGTTACAGAAGAATTTTGCAACTTTTCTTCACTTCTTGTGGAAGGAGCCGTGTGGATTGATGTGCAAGCGGAGGATGCGATGGTTTTGTACCAGCAACGTGGTTTAGAACACCTTACATTATTGCGTGAGAAGCTTCATGTCTTGGGCGTACATGCCCCCCTGCACGTTGCATTGCTTGTGCGGACGCGGTTTGAGAAATATGAAGAGGAGGAGAGAAACATTGTGCGGAGTTACATCATGGCGGGGAATAGGGATGCGTCTATGGCGTACCACGCGGAAGGGCTTTTCATTGAACTCCAATGGACACCTCCCATCGCAGACGGGAGTGCGTTTCGGTCTATTCTACAGGTGCCGGAAGCAGTAACATCCCTCTCTGACTTGGATGCACCGAATACATTGTCGCTCCTTTTGCAGAATGTGCGATGGGGCCATGCAAAACTCTTTTTGATTCCAACTATTCGGGCCTCTTTAATGCATGCCACCGACACCATGAACACGTTGAAAACGGCAGTGGCATGCAAATTGTTGTGTCGTCATCCGGAGTGGTTTTTTGTCCCTTGCATGATCGATCCTGTGGAAATGATGCAGCGGGCCGCGAATGGCATCGAGAAAGAGTTAATGACGATATCCGCCTCAAAAAAAGAAACAGGGATCATGCATTTTGTAACCACAGCAGAAGCGAAAAGAAGACGACTAGATGTTCTTACGTCATCTATCCAACAACTCACGGCAACGTTGGCGGAGCGTCATGCATTTGAGCGGCAACTGGTTTTTTCATGGCATCATGCGGATCGTGCTTCACGGGAGGCACTTGTACGAACATGGGCAAAACCAAAAAAGAAATTTTGGCATCTCTTTACGTTATCAGACGTGAGGCGGGAAGTATGTGATGACCGTCATGCTGATGGCGTGGCCGCAGGGCTACGACGGCATCCTGTCTATTTTCTTTTACTTCTTCCTCCTCCCCCTTCCGCGGGCACCGTCAAAGGCCACCGTCAGGCAACGCTTGCAGCAAAACAGAAAGCCGCACTTGAATCCCTTCGTGGCTCCGACAGCTCCAATACTTTACTTCCTCTCTTTTTTGATCTCAAAGAGAGCGATTTGGGAGATGGGACTCCCTTTCGACTATCGTTTTGTATGCGTTTTGCGTCAGGCACAATATTGTCGCCGATGTCATCTGAGGGAGGACTGCAGCTGCCATTGCCGACGGATATCATTCGAGGAAGTGAAGGGACATTACACAATGCTGTGGTGGAGGTGCGTATTCAAGCTGTGGGTGGTCGGTTCCTTCTTGCTGCGTCTGTTTGGCAAGGCCATCGAATTGCGACAGATGTCATGCCTCTTGTCTATGTCAATGGTCTTCCTGTTTCATGGAGGTCAGCGGAGGAGACGCGGTCCTTAGCAAGCGCAAGCATGAAAACCTCATTCTGGGTGCCCCTCTCACTTGGGGCACGTGTTGCAGTTGGTCCATATGTCTTTATTCTTTCAGTACGGGATGACACGATGTCGTTTCCCGCGTCGTCGTTGCCTTCCTCATGGAAGGTGGCCGCTGAAACGGAGAAGTTTTCAAGAGCCCTGGTGCTACTGTGGGAGTCTCGTCGCCGCCTTGAAATATTTAGGTGGCACCAACAGAAGCTGCGACTCATCTTTGATGTAACTCAACTGAAGTGGGGGAAAAATACCACCAATAGTTTGCTGAGCGGGAATAGCGACCGATTACAACGTCGTCGCTGTACGGCAGTCGAACGCGATGTCTTAGCCGCGTATCACGGGGCTCTGCAGAAGTGTGGGGTGGGGTGGCGACATCTGGTTTGGGGTCAAACCAAAGAAGAGGAAGAAGAAGAAAAAGGCACGAAAAAGGAGCTGGCACGGACGGCTAAAGTGTTGTTTCTACCACATTGGATGCCTGTTGCATCAGTCCGTAATATCGCTAACACCCGTTTGATGAGTTCACTTCCAAACCAGTTGAATCTTCTGCTGGAGTGCGTCTCGCGGCATGGGGCACTGAGCAAAACGGGGCCAGGGGAAATCGTCACCTCCATGCACCCCTTGAGCCATGATCACAGGGAAGATTATCACGAGGAAGATGAGGATGGAGAACTTCTCATGACAACGCTTTACGCTCGTTCCTGGGAAGAGATTGAGGAGGTGGAAGCATTCACGCATTTCTCCTCGTCTCCGATGAACGCCTCCGTCGACCCTGTGTGTATGCACATGACGGGGCCGTCGGAATTGGAACTCGGTGGAGGTGTTGGCAATGAGTCGGACGGCAGGCATCGTTGGCCATTGAAGTCCAAACCGTCCGTGGAGGCACTTCGCCGTGAGCTGGACGCAATTGAACGTTACTTGGATGAGCAGCTTAATCCGAAGCCGCCGGTTCGTACGGAAGCTCGATCAAAGAAACCCCAGAAGCATCGTGAAGAAAAACGGCGAAAAACAGGAGCTTCTACTCATAGCGCCGTGACGCCTTATATTTACCCGGATAATATCGAGACGGTTCAACGTCTCTGGGAAGGCTATGGATGCTACTCACGTCTGCTACAACCCTCTGCCTCCATGACGTCTCTTTTAGCTGCACTCCTTGGCTGGCCTGACAGCATCCGTGACAGTCAAAGCCGTCAGGAAAAGAACAATAAGCCACTGGAGCCCAGCGGTTTTTTAAATGCATCATCATCATTATTATGGGATCCTTCTTCTTTACCTTATGTGTTGTCACAACCAGAAACCCCCACGGAGGAGCGGGTCCTTCGACGAATTATTACCCGCCACAGGGATGCAGAGTGTGCGAGGATGCCTGTTGAAGAAGTTCAGTTTTGTTACAAAAGACAACTAGTTCTGGAGCTTTTGAACTTTTTGGTGGAGTTGGAAAGGTCACGTCTTTGGAAGCAGGATGGCCCTACGGTGCCATCGCACAAGTATGAACACAAAAATCTCCTGAATGATAATGGCCCGCCCTTTTGCATGACAACTGATAAAAAACCAGTAAAGACGGTGAACACAGAGGCCACTGACGCCGCATCCAAAACCTCTTCTGCACAGAACCGCTGGGATTTCACCATCACCGTACCATTTCAGACGATTCACACATTGTGTGGTTTTGCCCATGTGCATAGACTTAAAAGAGTCAACGGGGGTGTTTTTTTTGGGAAAGACATGGCGGTATTTGTTCCCACCACCATCGCGATTCATGGACACTTTTTGTATTACTACGATGCGGAGGGGAAAGAACCCCATCCAGATGACAAGGCGAAGGGTGGGTGTTACCTGCTGGGGGCGACCATTGTGGGTATTTCAAAGTCTGTATTGGAAGAAAGACGAGAGTTGGCAAATGATTCCGTGTATGCTGGAAGCGTTGCGGAAAAAAGTAATAAGGCGTTGTTGGATGCGAAGCGAAGTTCCACGGGTTCTCATGTTGGCACAAATGAATTACTGATGGCAGCGGAGGCTGTTGGGAAACAAAATTCCCATGGCATTCTTGGGAAGTTTATGACAAATATGCGTGCAGCTATCGGAAAAATAAATATCAACACGAAGGCGGTGACAGGCGAAGGCGTACAGGGAAAAGCCAGGAACTTTTTTTCTTCTCCCCGTAGGGCGGGAGCCGCGTATGCGACCTATAATAATAATAATAATAATAATAATATCGCCACCAGTGACGGTGATGGTGATGATGATGACACAAGCAGGAGTGGTGAGCTTCTGTATTTTATCGAGATCATCCCTTCTGTGCAGCGAGGCCCTGAGAAGAACTATCTCTTTGACACGCGTGAAAATCACTTATTACTTGGATTTAATACGAAGGCGCTATGGGAGCGATGGAAGAAGTGGTTTAACATTGCGTCCATGCCTGTTCTTTCCGCTCGTCTAAAACGTCATTTTGGTTCTGACCATATTCGAGAGGCTGCCATTGCGGTGTTCAGCGATCTTCAACGCTCACTTATACATGAAGAGAAGCGGGGTGTATTCTCGCCGCATGTTAATCGTCCTTATGTCATTGGCGGACCCATACCCCTAACCCTGTTGGAACTGAAACATGTCCTCCGTGTCACTGCAGACATGGCATTGCATCACACCTATATGCATGTAGCAGACGCAACGTTCTCATTATCATCATCAGCAGAAGTCAAAACTATGATTGAGGAAGAACTGCTCGGTTTCTCTACCGTTGATAGCAATGACGCGATGCGACAACGCAGGAAGGAAGAACAGCCGTTTGAGGCCGTGCAAGGGTTCTCGAGGCATTTTATACGTCATTGTCATTTGAATGAAGTCGCAGAGCATGACTTGGGTATGCGGCGTGCGGTGCGATTTCTCTTCGAGAATAATAATCGAGTCTCCCAGTTGCCGTCGCAATCATCACCATCATATTTTACTTTTCCGCCTTCTGCTTCTCCAGGCGAAGCCGCGTCTCCTTTTGGTGGTGGTTGTGGTGGCAACGCAGGTAGTGACCCACACCATGCCTTCCCCCATGGCCTTGTCGTTGGTGCTCTTGCGATGCCGTCTGTGGTGCTGCCGTTGTCGAACGTTCCATTTGCGACGCAATTAAGAACGTCATTTGTCACACACGTGCGTTGGAGACGCGAGGACGCCTCCGCATTACCCATGCAACGCCGCGGCGGACGGAAGAGGGAGTCATCACCTCCTCTCAGAGACAGTAGGGAAAATCATTTCCCGCCATGGCAATCAAGGACGATGGGAAAATCGGCAAATTTGGCCAACGACGGTGCACAACTCTTTCAGGAAGAAATCCCCATTAATTATAGGTCGCCGTTCCGTCATGCCAAACTTCTAGACGTCACTCGTATTCACGCGGAGAGGTACAACTCGCATGTGTGGCTTATTGACCACTTCAATGGCACGATTGAATGTGCCACAAGTGCGCCCGCAGAGGAGCCCCCACACTTGCGTCGTTGTGGCTACATCCGCTCAATCGTGTACAAAAGTTACGAGTTGTTGCATGTGGCACGTTCAGACTTCCTTATAGATGGCATCAGTCTTGAGGAATATGTAACAGATAAGGCAATAAAAAAGGATAGAGGTGAGGATGTTTCCTCACGGCCTTTATACGGAATTACCATTCTGTTTTATCGCAATGATCGTATTGTCTATAACGAATATTTTGAGGATTTGCGGGAGCGGGAGCGCTTTTTGGAGTGCATCTCTGCGATGCGGCCGACGATACGTATTTTTGCTCCCGCCCTCACAGCTGCTGTGGTGCCGAAGGATGAATTGGACGACCCCATGTTGACAGGTTCATTTCATATTCATCCGGATGCCACACGGCGGTCATTATGCATCGCCGAAGTGAATCTTCGTGCGGTGTTGCCAACAGCCCCACTTCGTTTAGTCTCTCAATTTTGGTCAGCGGTACTGCAGCAACTGCGAGAGGAGGACACCATGACCGCAGCGACGGGAACGAGGCGGCACAAAAAACGACGCCGAATTCACCGCAACCCTCGTGAGAAAACATGGAACATAAAGATTGATGCCACCCTTTCAAACAGTGGTGAGTACAGTGCGAAGAGAGTGCAAGGTCTGGCCCCGTTTACCTCAATGGAACCTATTAAGGAGGAAAAGGAAGGGACCGCAACGACGAATACGCTAGATTACGAGGCCATAATTGAGTCCCTTCTTGCCAATGACTTGCCGAATGGAGGGAAGAATGGCGAGGATACATATACGGTGAAACTCGAGGGAGTATGTGGACTACAACTCAGTGGGGAGGCGACAGTGCCGCTCAATATATGGACTGGCACAATCCATCTGGAAGGTTTGCCAATGAACAACCCGGCGACACTGCGTAAGTGGCTTGAAATGTTGGCCCCACAGTGGTCCATGATGCACGCGTCAGGCAGAGAGGAAAATTCTGTGAATCAATTGAGGGAAGAGGAGGAAGAAGACGACATAGAGGAGTATGATGAAAATGGCAATGAAAACAATATGTTTGGAGCTTTTCCTGGTTTTCAGAAGGGAAATGGAGCGAGAAGACAAGAATGGAATGGCCAGTATGGTCGCGATGCACCTTCTTCCCCATCGGCGCGGGTTGATTTGAAAGATGGAATGGAAGGAGAAAAAAAAAATTTGAATTTAAAAGTGCCGTATGATATCATTGCACTCACCGCACAGGAGGTGTCCTTCCATTCCACACCGGATAATTTTGTGGTCTTTGTGCAGGAGTGGTTTGAGGAGCAGGGCTATGTTGTCATTGCCACTGTCTGTTTAGACACAGCCGTGGTGCTTTTTGTCTTTGCACGAAAACATGTGGCGTGTCTCTGTGGGGCCGTACGCACAAAGAGGATACCACTCACATTTGCTGCTTTACGTGGTGAACATGGGGCGGTATTGGCAGCGTTGGAAGTTGGACAATCCCCTGTTTGCTTTATTGCCGTGCATTTGCCTACGATGGTGTCCCACACAACGATTTCCCCCCTTGCTTTGGCGACACACTGTGCGTTGATTCAAGAGGTTCTTACTCACATCCCTGGTGGTGTGCATGGAGGCGTTCTTCAGTCAGCCCACGTCGTTAACACAAGTGACGGTCATAAAGACACGAGAGCGAGGAGGGATAGGACGGAAAAAAATGAATCCTTTTGGGAGCTCCTCACACTGCGTCGACAATCCTCCACGGTGGATGGGCTGGAGTTTTATGATCATGTCTTCTTGTTGGGCCACTGGGGGACACCGTTGCTTCTCTCTCCACCCCGTTCCGGAAAGCAGCTAGCAGCTGTGGCATCATCCGCGGCAATAAGGGACGGAGGAATGTCAAGCGAAGGTCTATCGTCAATTTTTGAGGAACTTTTTGAACGGCTTCGATGTGTCGTTGCGGAAGAAAAAGAAGGGCGACACGACAAGCGGCAGGGTAATGAGTATTCTTCTTGTGGTCTCCCCTCCCTCATACAG